GAAAGTAAATGTAGTGGGTCTCTATGAGAACAGGATAGATGGTATATCTTACCCATCACTTTGTGCCATAGGGAAGTGTGGAGCAAGTCCTATTGGCTACTTAGGAATATTGACAGTCACGGATGTCATAGATGATCTAGTCCAGAGGTTGGCACAATTTTTCTGTACAGGGCCAGACAATAACTATTTTAGGCTGGCAGGTATTTCGGACTCTGTGGATACTACTCAATTCTGCTACTGTAGCACATTGCAAAAGCAGCCACAGACAATATGTAAATAAGTGAGCATGGCTGCATCCCAATAAAACGGTGTTTACGAACACTGATATTTGAATTTCATATAATTTTCACATCACAAAATATTCTTCTTTTGATTTTTTAAAAAACCGTTTAAAAATGTAAAAACCATCCTTAGCTTGTGAGCCATACAAAACAGGCAGTGAGCCAGCTGCTGCCCACAGGTCACAGTTTGCCCATCTCTAGGCAGTTACATGTTTCCCAGAGTGTGTGCTTTGTGATGCCCACAGGTGCTTAATGGGGAAAAAGTTCCATGCTGAAAGAGGAATGGGAAATGGTGGGCAAAACAAAGTCCTTCTGCTTTCTTACTGCAAGATGTCTTTGCGCCTTACATGTTGATAAGCATGGCCATCTCGAAAAGGGGATGAGAAATGAAATCTGTCCAAGTTCCATTTTTATCCTGGAGCATCTCCTAGATCTAGTTTTCTGTAAACCTAATTAAAGCTATGAGGATGAAGTCTGACCAACCATCAGCAACAGTGCCGCCAAGCGTGATCCTTTTGAACATTTTCAGTGGCAGGCAGCTCACTATCTATCGTGGGCGCCTGCTGGATTAAGTGATTCCTCTGACTCATGTTTTCCCATTTGGTGATGCTGGGTCACAAGTAACAAGTCTAGTGCAATGTAGTGCATCTTTCATCAGACGAAGACAAAAGTTCATGTTTAATAATATAAAGAAAGCGTACCTTCGACTTATTGATTCATCCCCAAAATATAACTCTATTTATGCACAGGATAAAACAAAGAGGGGAAGGAAGTCCTGGAGGGGAATTACCATGTGGTTCCTTGAGAAGAAACCTTACTTAGGGGACTTAAAAAAAAAAAAAACCAAAATCTCAATTTACTCCCAATTGCACAGAGAGAAGGACCTACCTGTTTGCTAGGGGGCATTCTTACTAAAAGTACAGGCCTGTGAAACCTCTGGTCTTTACATAGGGCATCTGCAGGTGAATATATAGAATTTTATATAGATTTACCTAAAATGTAAAAAAATAAATAAATAAATAAGCGGGGCAGGGAGTATGAGCTTAGATGAGAGGAAGAAAGAGTGAGATGGAAATGTGAACCAGGTGTGAAGCTGCCACCAGGGACCACTGAAAAAGAAAAGTAGAGGATGCTGAGGAGAAATGTCATCAGCAGCATGAGCCACCCAAAGAGAGGAATGAAGGCCATGAATGTCACATATTTGGTTAAGTGTACACCCACGTGCACCTCCATTTTGTTCAACTGGTCCAAATTCATGTGCAAACAGCACAGCAGGGAATGCACCTATTTGCCTCTATTAAACCAATAGGATTATTTGTATTTGGAAGGCGTATTTGATACACATTTTCTTTTGGGCCCTAGGAGATAAGGATAGAATGGTCCAGCTTATGTTAATGTAACATGCCACACATGCGATATATTTAAGAAGATAAAGGGAAAGGTCTGTGTTTTCCTTTCTCCGGACTTCAATGGATCATCCCCCTGACATTAAAGCAAGTAGCATATATTTTCAGTTCATAGATTAGACGTGCATGTTTCCTGGAGCCATATTCAAAAGTAGTAGCATGGAAATAGGGGGGAAATCAACCAAAAGAGTAATTCTCAGGGCTCTATCTTTCCTCAAGGAGCTGATGGCTATATTGGCAAGACCTGTCTTTGAAGAGCAGCACAAAACACTGAATTTGTAAAGGGGTTGAGGTACAGCCCAAGCAGCGTAAACACTGCTTACTCCTTGAGGTGAGGCCATGCTTGGCCCCAAGACATAGTTTTCCCAGGGAGATAGTCACTCTGAGGTCAAGGTGGAAATTATATCAATATTCAGAAACAAGGTGCTAATGGAGATGGCATGCATGTGTGTGCCTACATTTATCTGTGTGTGTCTCTGTGTGTCTATAACTTTTCCCACTATAAATGGGTTCTCTGATACTGTCATTGTTGTGCTATATTATCTTAAGAAATTCCTCCCTAAGGAAGTTCTGCCTTTCAATTTCTTTATTTATAAAATAAGGGGTTGAACAAGATCGAAGAGTCAGCAAACAATGGCCCATGAAACAAATCTTGCCCACATCTGTTTTTGTAAATTAAGTTTTATTGGAACACAGTGACACTCCTGTATTGTCTGTGTCTGCCTTCAAACGACAATGGCACAGTTGAGTAGTTGTAACAGAGTCCCTATGGTCTGCAAAGTCTGAAATATTTACTATGTGGTCCTTTACAGAAAAACTTACCAATCCTGAATTAGACTATCTCCAATATTGATTTTGGCCTACGATTCTATAAAGTACAACCAAACAATACAAAAGTCTACTGTGTGTTTCTTGCCCTCTTTATTTATATATATCCTGCCTTACTCTTCAAAGGATTAATTTGGCTCACAAAACTGTATGGAGCACATAACCACAAACTTACATGTAAAGTTCCAAAAAGACAGTGAGGAAATGAGGGCAAGGAGAAAATGACAGAAGAGATGTGGAGACAAAGCCAGGGAGATGTAAATACATAGAATAAAAACTCTGAGATGCTGTGTATTTTCACTGGGCCACGAACTTGGCTCCAAGCGGCCACTAGAAAAAGAGGGCCACAGTCCCCCCTCCCCTTCTTGTTTTCAAGCTCAAGAATGTTTTTATTTTTTTATTTTTTATATCATCTCTATCATAAAGCATGTGTTCAATTCATCTTGAAACAGAGGTTTCAGCTTAAAGGCTTTCCTCCCTAGCAAGGCTTTCATGATCCCCTATACTTCCTGTAGACTCGGCCACCCCCCATACACACACACACACACAATGCTTGTACCCATAGTATTTCTCCTCCGGACATTCCTTCAAAAACTTCCACCCATGGTACAATGAAATCAGGATCATTCTTGTTTTCCTCACGCCTGAAAAAAACACCTGGCCCAGAGTAAGTGCTTGGTAGCTCTCGGTTAATGCTGACAAAGATAATTAGAACTGTTGACAACGGCCACATGGAAGTAGCAGGTGTTATTTGTGTAACCAAACGGTCAGCTGTTCATCATCTATCATCACCACCATCCGTATAGAATGCACTGCCGCCATTTCATCCCATATGAATGCCCAGACCCAGAATTCAGTGTCTTTAAGTTTCCCATATAGAATCCACTCATATACAAGCACAAAAGAGCAATGGAAACTTTACTGAAGAATCAGGAGGGCAGACAGGATGGTGGTTACAAAGCACAGTCCAGAATAAGCCACCCTCAATGCCTCATTAGACACTCAGTGCTGCCCAGTCTCTCCTGGGCCCCACCAACCCAGATCGTCCCCTCTCTGTCTTCCTCATGCAGCACCTGGCCTCACCAGTTTCTCTTTCCTCCTCCGCCAAAACCCCAACTTTAAATTTCTCCCCTTTCTATTATGCCACCAATTGATATCAGCCAGGGCTTCATATCTGGACTCTTCAGAAGGCTCAGCTCAGGACTGGTCCCTCAGTTAACACAACCCTGTCCTCTTTAAAGCCTGCTTGGCCATCGCCTTTGTCACTCAAGCATGGCATTCAGTGTCTTACTTTTTCCTTCAAGCCATTTGTGAGGTATTTATCCCAAACATAACGTAGAGTTCTCCCCAAGAAGGATTCTGATGGTGAAATTTTCATTACCTCCCTACAGCTACTATCATCTCCTCACTGAGTTTTTGCCACAAAACGTTGAGGGCGCTGACATCTATTTTCCAGCATCTCTGCCTGATCTTTGATCCTCCCAGCCATCAGGGCACCCCCATTCATTCTATCTATGAGCCAAATGATTCTTGACTGAGCCCCAGCTTCAGGCCCAGGAAGGGCAGCCCATACAAAACAGCTTCCAGAATCATAACAAGAAATCATTTTGAAGGTTACATCCTTCTCAGGGAAACTCCTGACCCAAAGCAGGCCAAAGAAAGCTGGTGGGCATGGCTACCCCAGGGAAGAGCCCACATATGGCAGGAGTACAGCCAGTTCAGAGTGAATAATTCATGCCTGTTTGCCTAGTCTTTGCACTGAAAGACCAATGTCCCAGGTACTCTTCAGTCCCAGGCAAACTGGGATGGTTGGTCATTCTATGCTTGTCCCACCCTCAATACTTGCCAAGAACCAGAAACTCACTCATGGTCTCAACCAGCCAGTGAAGCCAAGCTCTATACAAGCAGATCAGAGAGAATGCAGGAGATGCACAGAGAAGGAGGAGGATGAGTGCTGGCTGTAGATGGAGCTAGGAGACAGCCTCATCAGAAATAAAGTCATATGGGCAATGCACCAAATGGGGCAAGGCGGCTGCAGGTAGGCTGCCAACAAGTTTCACCACCAGCATGACTGAGGATTTCCACTGTGGGCAAGATCCAGGTCACAGAGGGCAGGAGATTAGGAAACTGCCCCCAAAAGAGGCTCTCTGCATGATGGCCAGAGGAGCACAGTAGCATCCTCAGAAGGCTAGCAAACGCACACACACACACACACACACTCAGAACTCCCTGGCTCCCTCCCCAAAAGACCTTCTCTCCCTGGACACTGGCCCACTCTCTGCAAATCCTTCCAAAAACCACTGGGTTAGATGTGCATGAAGAACCCAGACTGTCCTCCATGACCATATATAAGCACTTCCTGCTCACCCCCACCTCCCAATAGCCAGTGGCCTGGAGAAGACTCAGTGAAACACCACGTCCCTATAAACAAAGCAATCAAGGACCAGAGAGCAGGACCAATGTGAAGAGGGAGTTGGGGACTCACCAGGACTCTGCCAGTCAGTGTCTGGGCAGATATCATCACCCCCGCCCAGTCCTTCACGGAGGTCATCCAGCCGACCTCAGCAGCCACCGCCTCCTCTTTTTCATCCACTGGCTTGAGAGTGCCATCCGCCTGGCTTGAGCCATTATTAATCTTCTGGGCCTCCTGGCAACAGAGAGAACAAAGGTTGAGACATAGGGACCAACTGGATTTAAAAAACACAACCCCACCCAAAGAACCAAACTGGAAGGGTCCAGGCTGAGGTGGGAACTGGCTTGAAGGCACAGGTGTAGCGTAGAAGGGATGGATATGGCTTTGATCTTTTTAAAGTCATTTTTAAAAGAATCTTCTCTTTATTTCCTCTTAAAATATCTTTGTGAAAGAAAGAAGAAGGAGATTATTCTCTTCCTGCTTTAAAGAAAAAAAATCGCACAGCTCAGAAGGCGAAGCATCCTGCAGGGGTCACAGAGTGGCTGGGAGGAACGTGGGTTGGCATGCTGTGTTCTGCCTGCTCAGCCTTCATGCCCTTCCCACAGGAACACATTTCCTGAGGAAATCTCCATCTCGTCATCTCAGTCTGTGTGATTCTAAAGGGACTAATAGGCTCACGCTGGCTCCAAGAATGAAGACGGGTCAATTGGACCATTCCACGTCCCTGGCAACAGTGATTGGGCCAGGGATGGCCATGCGACCCATGCCAACCCAATATGACTCAAGCACAAGACTTGTGCTGGGAAGAGTAGGAAGGGCAATCCTTCCCTGAGAATGAAGCAGCAGAGAGGAAAGTAGAAGTGAGAGAATACTGATGTCATCATTTGAACACCAGAATCCAGCTGTGCCTGAAATCCGAACTTTTCAGTTATAGGAGACAATACATTCCCTTTCATGGCTTAAAATGTGCTTGAGGAAACAAGACTGAACTCATCAGATGACTGAGCCCCATATGGGACCCTAAACTGTCCATTTCTACATGCAGTGTGCCCTCTGCCTGGAATACTCTTCTCCCACAGAGAGCATGGCTTGCTGCCTCACAGCTCTCAAGTCTACTCAGATATTACCTTTTCAATGAGGTCTTCTCTGGCTACTCTTTTAAAGTTGCAACTCTGCCTTCTGACAGTACCACCTTTCTGCTTTATTCTTCCCCATAGCATTTAAAACCTCTAATACACTCTATAATTCACACACTTATTTCCTTTACAGTCTGCCTCCCCCAACTGCTGTATCCTGAGTGCCTAAAAGAGCACCTGGCTCAACAAACCTAAATGAATGAATAAAAAGGGTTATGAGTGTAAGCCCCTCACTGACCACAGAGCCCAGGCTTAGGGTGGCCCAGTAAAATACAGGATACCCAGAGAAATGCGAATTTCACATAAACAGTAGATACCTTTTTAGTGTAAGTATGCCTCAAACATCACATGGTACTCATAATAAAAACTTATTCATTATATATCTAAAATTTAAATTTAACTGGGCCCCCTACTCAAATACCCACTGACTATTTTTGCAGACATAGATGTTCAAAAAGATATCAGCAAAGTATGTTCATCATTGAAAATGCTAGAATTAATTTCCAAAGCAAATCGACACTGGAAATCACTGTGATTTAGAGTAGGGGGTGGGGTAACCTACGGCAGAGGTGAAAACCTCTGTCTGAAGCAGCAGCGGGCAAGGGGTGAGGCAGAGTGGGGAGAGGGGAGCTGGGAGGTACTGGGTGAGTCATCCTCTTGGAGACTTGCAGGCAGGCCGGAAGCTGCTCCTGACGCCTCCCCCTGCAGCCTCCCCTGGCTTGGAGAAGCTGGGAAGAGAGAAACAACACCAGAGCTCATGTTTTATTTCCAAGCATATTGGGCCCCACAGGACTAGAACAGTCCAAGAGGAAACTGGGCAGGGGGTGGGGGAGCACAGGTTAGGCATATTTGGGGGCTGCCTGCTGACATCCATGGAGCGTTCTGCCCAAGTCTAAGGACAGTCTCAGTGGCCTGTTAGGACCCCAAGTCTTGGCCATGTGAAGACTCTGCACAGGTGCGTGTTGTGGAAGACATGGAGGCCCAGACCCAGGGCAGCCTTAGTAACCGAAGATGTAGATTCAGTTCCTCCACCCCTGTGGGCCCTTCCCTATAAGACAGGGACTATATTGCCTGCCCCATGGGTTTTTCTGGGATTAACCAGTGCCCAAAGCACATAGTACATGTTCAATTAATTAGTCCCCCCACCTCCCACTTCTCCTTGAGCCATTGACACTCTAGGAGTGGTTCTCAAACTTCAGCGGGCATCAGAAGCACCTGGAGGGCTGGTTAAAGCACCGAGTGCTGCACCCCTCCTCAAACCAGCATTTCTAACGAGTTCCCAGGTAATGCTGATGCTGCTGGCCTGGGAATCCCACTTTGAGAACTATTGCTCTTACTTATCCTGGCATGGCTTGATCATCCCTGCCCTGAACTGAAATGGGACACACATATTAACCCCAGCTCTTTCCTGGCCTCGCCCTTCACCCAAGCACAGAAACAGAGAATGTGGGGTGGACTGGGAAGAGATTAGGGAAGGGAGAAGGCCCACAAATCAGAGGCTCTTATGTTTCCTTTTGAGTAGTGTCCCTTAGGGACATTTCTGAACTGGTCCATGGCCACAGCCTGGAGGCCTGGAGGGCTAGCTCACTGCTCCTCAACCCTCCGGGCTCAGGCTCCACAGCCACCTGGCTGACCCTGGAGGAGAGAATGGCATGAAGAGGGCTGGGAGGCAGGGAGTTCTCTCCATCACAGTGGTTTCCATGCTTCAGTACTTTACGGCACAAGAGGTATATGGCAGATAACGCTCTCGCCAGTTCTCTTACAGATTGTTTAACAAGGCATTCGTTATTTTAATTACTTTATGAAAGGCAAAGAAACACATAGACTAAAGGGAGATAATGCCCTTGTTATTATTTGCTTACACTAGATGTTGTGTGCTTAATTATCAAGTGTGCGAGGCAGGACTGGGGGAGTGGCGGGGGTGGGGGAATGAGGAGGAGGTGGGAGCTCTGCAAAGCCGGATGCCAGTGGCCAGGTTAGGGCTCCTTGGCCTGACGGGAAAGGCCCTGTCTATCTCTAACCTACTCTGGCCAAAGCACCCCTCACCGGGAGCAGGTATAATCCACACCCCAGAGGAAAGACGGCAGAGGCCCAGAGAGGTTTTGGGCTTGTTGAGGACACATGAGGGAGGTGGGGGTGGTGCAAAGGGGCAGAGTCTATAGTGATTGACCACCATTTATCAAGCCAGAACTGGGTGCCAGCAGCTAAAAATGAAGTGCTTTCTATGCATCATCTCACTTAGAGCTTATGCTAAATCCAACAGGCAGGTGGAATTATCCCCATTTTACAGGCAGAGCAACTGAGAGCAGGCATTTCTCAGGGGGAGGCACAGAGTCTGAGAGCTTGGGCTGGAGGCAGAGGGCCCATCTGGGCTTAGGTCTGCTCCACCGCTTACAAGCTGACTACCACGGGCATGTCAGCTCACGAGCCTCAGCCTCCTCCACGTGAAACAGGGGTAGGCATGCCAACCCCATCAAGGTGGTGGCAAAGCTGACGTGAGATAAGTGATGCACAGTGCTTGGCATGGTGCCTGGCATACAGCAGTTATAGCTTATGAGGCAGAGCACCCACCCATTGATGGGACTGGCTACCTCCAAGGATGTTCAGTTAAAGCTGCACCACTTCATCAATTGGTGGCCCGGGGAGGGACACTTGGTCAAAGTGAAACCTTAATAAATAATTAAAGAATGGAGGGGCCAGCCCTGGTGGCCTAGTGGTTAAGTTCAGCATGCTCCACTTCAGTGGCCCAGGTTCAGTTCCCAGGCGCAGATCTACACCACTCATCTGTCAGTGGCCGTGCTGTGGTGACAGCTCACATACAAAAAGAGGAAGATGGGCAGCAGATGTTAGCTCAGGCAAATCTTCCTCGGCAAAAACAAAAACAAACAAGCAAAAAGAATTACAGAATGGAGGATAACCAAGTTTAGGTTCTAACGGCTATGATCCTTCATACAGGCAATGGGCGCCTGGGAGCTCAGGTGCCTCAACTTCTGGAGGGGTTCCAGCAGGAGCTGTGTGGCACTCTCCCAAGGACAGCTAGGGCAGGGATTCCTACACAGAGTGAGCCCTGGACCAGATGACTCCTAGATCTCTCCTGACTCTAAACTCCATCAGATCAACGTCCCATTTGAGATGAGACTGAGGCCCCTAGAGAGGTTGACTCCTGGGTCCCCGCACACTGCTCTCTCCTGTGCCCCGCAGAGTGCTGCCTCAGGGGGAAGAGGTGCTTTGGTCTGAATAGCGCAGTGGGCATCATCAAGCCCCACATCTTCCACTTCCCACTGCAGGGAAGGACCCAGCCCCTGTGCAGGGAGGACTCCTGAGCAAGGTCAGACAGGCTCCCCCATGTCAGGAAAGACCTGGTCCTGATCCCCGCTCATCCTCTAGAAAATCACTGTGTGTGTGTGCACATGCGTGTGTGTGTAAAAGAGAGAAACCCAACCAGCTGCAGGCTCTGGCTACCCGGGCCACAGACAGGCCACCGGAAATTCTCTGAAATGGAGAAAAGGATGCCTAGTAGGGAAGAGGAACATGGGGGAGGGAGGAGCAGAGAAAAGCTGGGACTGGGTAGGGCATGGGGGTATCCTGGAAGGTGGAGGTCCGGCTGTAGCCATCCCCTTGAGAAAGCGGCTCGGTGTTGCCTTGGAGGCCATTCTTCCCTCCAGCCCTGACCACTCCCCCACCAGAGTCTTGTGTAAAACAAGCCACAGCTGCCTCCTGGGGACAATGCCAAGACCAGAGGGTGAGGAGGGCTGCAGGGTACAGGTATCTGGGGGGCACACTGGAGAACAGGGTGGCCAGCAGTCCCCTCCTACTGCCTGCCCACATGGGCAGCCTCTCACAGGCTCATGGCCTCATCCCTTTTTTGCCTTCTCCCCATTCCTTTTACCAGCATTCTGTTCAGTGGCTTTCTGTTGACATGGCCACAGAAAGCCTCATACCTCCTACGTCACCTGTGGCCTACGGCCCAACAGTACCACAATCCCCAGTACCCACTATACAGAGCACGTATCTCAAAGCCTGAGAAGGGACCTCAGCAATCCCTTCAGATGCCCAACCCCTCACTGTAGAGATGAGAACACTGAGGACCTGGGGGGA